AGTTAAAAGTAATCTAGCATGAGGTAAAGCGAAAAAAAAATGACTGTGTAATGCTCTGAGTCTGAGCTCCAAAAATCCATGGAGATCAATAGTCACCCAAGTCAACTAGTTACTAAAAACCCAGGTAATGCTTTTTATTTTTTACCTCGCAGGTGATCCCAATCGAATACTCAAGTCATGATACTATTTTAGTATTTTTCAAATAAACCACATGAAATCAAGATATTTCCCAATCCATTTTTCCTCCACTTAAGAGAGAGAGGGAGAGAGTGAAACTGCTCACCTCACCTCTTATATCTCGAACTCAAACAAGCACACTTCACTTCATCAAATGTTTTTTCCATTTCCGAATGTTATTCGGACAAACAACTGCATGAATTCCCCACAATAGGCACGACCTTCACGAATTGTAGCATGTTATTTAAAAAAACCGACGCGTCTCAAATTATGACATAGCATTACTACCCTAATGCGAAAGTAGAGTTTCACCTAGTTGCAAGATTTCTCCATGACTGGCTCATAAGGGAAAAAAGGAAAACAAGCAATATCTATATGTCCATGCACTACTCTGCCAAAAAATGAACCGCAAAAGCCCACCAGTACCATATAGCAATACAGCCAGAAGTTTTAGGTCAAATAACCAATGTTCATCTGCAGTCCAAATAATATATATCCTAAAAAGATCCAGATTGCTAAATTCTTCCACTATATTGAAATATATGTATCTGCAGAGCTGCTAACTGATGGGACCTGCAATGTGAGTCTTCTTAGGCTTAGTGTTACCAATGGCGGCCATGGCTTGGCGGACTTTTGCAAACCGCCATGCTAAATTTGTGAAGGATGGTATTTATGGCAGCGCCATTTATCGCCATCCACCATTAATAGCACTGATTGGGCAACTTCAATTTTCATTAACGGACAACAATCTCATCTCATATGTATAATAGGGCAATCAAGGACAACAAATCTAGCTAACAGGAGACGTCTCATTATAAACAGTCCAAGAGAAAAAAGATCTAAGAAAGGTAGTGCAACACATTCAATTACCAGATCATCAAATATCAAAGTGAAAAAAAATGAGGAATATTTTTTAATGATTTCAGTCTCCCTCTAGTGCTTGGGCTAAGGATTCTGATTTGGAAAAAGGATACAGAGAAGTTGCAACTGTTGGGTTGTTTTGTACTTCGAAAGGGAAAAAAAGACTCAAGGGAAATATTGGTTATTCAATATAGCGAAAAATCAATTCCCTAGCAAAGAGGAGAGATAATTCAGAGTGAAGTATGTTCGGTCCATCCTCAACAAATTCACAATGTCCTTAGACAACAAAAGAAACATGGACCGTTCGCATTTCTATAGTTTTCTCCTTTAGAACGTTTCACCAATCTAAAGATTCTAAACCCTCAAACCAAACAACCATCCGGCAGCACCAACTGGAAAACCATTTTCATTGTATACATGCATTATCATATCATACATTAGCACTAATTCACTTAAATTTCATGCTCCAACATTGAGGCTCTGCTTCACGGACTACTAATTCCCCAACCAAATAAATTAACGATAAAGAGTATTACATACAGTTTTGCTTGCTATGAAGCCAACAGTTGGCTCCATAGTGCAGTCAACCTTCTATATACAACAAGTAAACCATACCATATTAATAAAATTATTAGTATTATTTAAGTAATCAGGGTATGATTTAATTGTTATATATAGAAGGTTGGCTCCATAGTGGAGCCAATTGTAGGCTTCGTAACAAAACTGGTATTACATAAATAACAATAACAACGCCAAAGAGGAACACAAGAACGAAAACAATTAGAACAAGCGATATATTTTATTCTCAAAACAACAGTTGATATAGTAATTCAAGTCAAAAAAAGAAAAAAATTAAATCTTGCCAAAAAAAACAAGCACACTATCGCATATACAAAATAAGCCAACACAATCTTCATTCCCCTTCCATAAAATCTCACGCACCCGATACATAACTTACTTTCAACTCCAAATTAGAGTCAGGAGCACACTCAAACCAATCACCATGAACAGCAGCTTCAGAGTCGAGTCCGCCTGATGCTGCTGCTGATTATTCCCACGTTGCGCAGCATAACCCTGCGCGGGCCCACCATGAAACCCATTTGGATACCCATAAGGAAAACCCGGGCCCGGGCCTGGCCCGTACAAGTTGGCGTTAGGGAACCCATGAACCTGAATGTTGAAAAACGAGGGGAACAGTCCCCCGAGCCCAGCCGACAGAGCGAAATTCCCGAACCTGGTCGTCGCCACGGGCCCGAAGCCACCAAACGGGCCGAACCCACCCATGAACCCAAACCCCTGCTCCTGCCCAAACGGGTTCGGGCCTGAATCGGGCCTGGGGGCTGTTTCGGGCCTCTGGCCCGTGGGTCGGTGGGGAATCTCCATGCCTGGGACTGATCGGGAGCGTGGGTCGGTGGAGCTTTTTCCGCGGCCGTATAAAGGGACTAACTTGTCCTCTTCTATGAGGGCTTTGCAGACGGGGCACTCTTGAGAGCGGGAATGGATTCGGAGCCATTTGTAGAGGCAAGGCCAGCAGAAGAGGTGGCCGCAGAGAGTCACGATTGGGTCCTGCGCTAGGTCGAAACAAATGTTGCATTCGAAATTCCCGGCAGAATCACTGTTGTTGTTGTTGTTGGTGTTGGTTGAGCATGAAGAAGGGCTTGGGGGTTGCCTGCTTGTAGATTCCCCAAACCCGCTAGCCATCTTCTTGACCTAAAAGTATGGATTTTTTGAATCTAAATATTAAGATCTGAATATGCAAACCCTAATTCATACACAAGCACTGAATTTCGAGAAATTTGATAAAGGGGTAAACCGAAAAGTGATTCTTTGCGTGAGGTGGCTTCAGATTTGAAGCATGAAAAAATGCTTGCGGCGTCACTCGAGATTAAGCTATCTACTACAGAATCAAATTAAATAAACCGAAACTTTACAAAATGGAAACAATGAAAGCAAAAAATAAAAAAGAAGATGGAGATTGAAAAAGAGGAAAGGGAGAGTTTACCTTCGCGATTCAGAGACCGAATTAGAAGAGGCAAGGCAACAAACGACCTCAACTTTGTGAGTGAATATTAATAACGAAATGAGAAAATTGAAGGGGACGCGGAACGGAATGATCTAGAGAAAGGTGTGTGAAAATTGAAAATGCAGGAAATCTAGCTGTAGTCCACGTGGCATGTTATCAGAGGATGTGTCCGTCCTATTCGGATGCTTGACTGTTGACTAACTGTGATTGTACCCGCAAATCGCATTGACAACCCTTATATATGTTGTTTGCTAGCTATGTCACCGGCCAGGAAGATTTGATTAGACCAGGTATAAAAATAACTTTGAGAAAATTACCCCATGTAATCATGCTAAGCATCTTATTCTCACAATTATTCTTTGAATTTTTTAAATTCAATCATACCATATAATAGTACATAACAACCCTTTCAGTAGAAAATAAGTATAAAAAATATATTATTTTTTTTTTTTTAATATTAAGATGTGATCAAATTAATTGGGGTTATTTAATTAGATGTACTAATTACCTAAATTGACTTTCTTTTCTTCTCTTTATTCCCTTTTGGTAACATATGGATATAAAAATATGATTGATAAGTTGTTAATATCTTGTTAATTTCTTTTCTAGAATTAATTAAGAACGTAATTTTAGTATTTAATATTGTAAAAAGTCTAATGTTGATAATTGAAAAAGTTCGGCACATATATGTCGTATGAGCTTTAAAGTTATCTATGTGTACTTTTAGCCCTTAACTTTTATCTTGGATTCTCCCAATAAGTGGATCTTGAGTGTCGGGTTGGATCTATTTTTTTTTTTCTTTTCGAACGATAGAGGTAACTCATAAATAAACCAAAGGTATTACAACCGGAGGACCAACTAGCCCATACAAGCAAAAGAACTGGAGAACCACTCAGAGGTGACCTAGAACGCAACAAAGACTATCGATACCAAAGGCGAATACAACAAAGTTGGCACCTTCAGTACAACAACTCCAAAGCCTAACATAAATAACACTAACAGCAAAATGAAAAAAGCTAGTACACCACTGAAGCGGGGAGCCTAGCATATAGCTTTCTCCATGAGACAGCTACATTGGCAAACTACCAAATTCCAACCAATCTCACAAGGCAATCTAAGCAATCACTTTATCCGACATCCAGACATTCTGAAATGCTCAAGCTTTCGGGCTTTGTAGAGCCACTTTAAAATAAAAGTCGAGAGTTGAATCCGTGCCTCTGAAGCTTTAGGACAATCCATGGAAGAGATCCACCACCACTACCACCAACCTTCAAGGAAAAGTAGCATCCGAGTTTGAATCATCCCAGTTGACGTGAGAGATCTTCCATATCCTCTTAGCCCTTCTACAATAAAAAAAAAAGGTGTTCTACGCTTATAGAGCCCTCCCCACAGGTTTTGCAAACCTAATCCACCTCAAAACCTCTCCTTTTCAGGTTTAGCCTCACCGATAAAGACGTTGCCAAATGGTGGGTCGTCGGGCTCCAAAACATGGGCCCAGAACCGACCCGAATCGCCGATTCATGCCTGATTCTGGCAGTTTCGGGCATTTTTTTAAAGGATAAAAGATTTTTAAAAAAAACAAAAAAACAAAAAAACAAAAACAAAAGAACATAACCTTCAAAAATCATAAGATTATTTCAGAAGTTCACCATCAAAGCATCAACATCAATTATGTTAATGATGCCACGGTCACAGTCTTCATTATGTATCATTTTTCCAACTCTTTTATACGTCTACAATAGAGCAATAAAGAGAAAGTACACAGAGACTAACATCAGCAAATTCAAGTACTAAAGAATTTGTATGTCAGTCTGTGTGAGCATTCTCTTTATTGCTCTATTGTAGGCGTATAAGAGAGTTGGAAGCATGATACATAATGAAGACTGTGAGCATGACATCATTGGCGTAATTGATGTTACTGCTTTGATGGTGAATTTCTGAAATGCGTTGGAGAAAAAATCGGTGGCGAGGATCCGGGGACTAGAATGGTGTTCCTGTCACGGTGCATGCAAAAAATAAATGACGGTGATGGAGCTGCATGCGGCGGAGAAGACCATTCTGGGACAATTCTCCCGAATATCGTGCACATACTTTTCAAGCTCATGATTCTTTTCCGAAATGGTGGACAATTCTTATACTATATTCATCTGCTAAATTTTCGTTTTCAATTATAAGCAATTTCAGCAACTACGGGTGAGATGTAATTGAGTAGTATAGTTCAAAAGATATCTGACCATGTTAAATTCATGCTCTCTGAACTGCATCCACTTAATTGTTATAGTTCTTAGAATAGGCATTTAGACACTTAATTGTTGGAAGCAGGAACTGTTGACGACTCTTTTTCTGATTGAGCTTGGACAGGAGAAAGGATGGTCAACAGTCCCGACTTTCAACATATAAGTGCCTAAATGCCTATTCATGTCTAAGAACTATAACAATTAATTGGATGTAGTTCAGAGAGCATGAATTTAACATGGTCAAATATTATTTTAGGCCTATACTGGGCTTACATGACGTCTCCAAAGAATTATTTTGCTCAAGATTGTAAATGAAGTGTCATTAATTCAAGTTGTCTAAGGCCCATTGTATAGAATAATGAAATAACATTTATTGTACCTACAAAGCTAATAGCATAATCAATGTCCGACCTAGTTTTAAGCATAATATACATCACAGAACCAATTGAAGACACATTTTCATCAAATCAATTTCAGAATCAAACTTAGGAGACTAATCATTACTTAGCACAAAGCAAGAAGTAAGTGAGACATTCAATTATTTCTCAGACGACACATGTTTTTTNTAAATTTAATCAACATAAGAAATTTGATTATAAAAAATCACAAATTCTTCCTATCACAAACAATGTTCATTCATAAAACTTTTTTAGCATCGTCAAACTTTTTCATGTCAAAATTTTAACATGCGCAATGGATTTGATGCAAGGCCCGACCAACAATATATTGTTAACATAAATGAGCAGAAAACTGAAACAAAATAAATTTCTTTAAAGTTGTACAAACAATGATCATATAAAACTCCTTTTAAACTTTAAACAAAACGTAAACATATCAAAGTTCTTGTTCCATTGCCTAAGAGATTAATGAATAATTAACCAACATTCTTTGCGAACCCAAAAAACACGCTTCTCAGCCACAATCTATAACCTGAGAAAATACATTTTATAGACTAAACTTTTTTGAGTTTATTGAGTTTTTTATGGCAAAATACTACACTTGGATAATATATTAGAGAACCCGCATCGGGGCATTAATTTGCCCCGTTTAAACGATAGTTGGTCGTTCAAGCCAATGCGGACATCCATTAATATTTGGGCCCTTTTTGTCCGTTCATTACTTTGAACGCACCTTGGGTGCCTTTATTAATTTTTTTTTTCTTTTATTTAATTTTATTATTATTTTTTTCTTTGTAATCTTAATTCTACTATTCTTAATCTTTTTAATTCTATTAATTTTAATATATTTAATTCTACTAATTTCAATCTTTTTAATTCTATTATTTTTTTTCTTGTATAATCTTAATTTAAGTTATTTTGATTTTGTAGTGTTTTTTTACTTTTATGCATTTAAAAATTATTATTATAATTTAAAAATATTAAATTTTTATTTTTATTGAGAATAATATTAAAATTTATATTGAATGAGTGGATAATGAGTCCCATATATGTATTTAAATGAATGGATATGAATGTGGGTGTGTGTTTAAATGGAGAGAGGTTTAGTAGATGTATGGAACTGTATCGGGAAAATGAAAATAAGATGGCTAAAATAAAAATACCGAGGCCTGTGAGAACACAGTGTCCTTAAAACAGATTCGCCCCGTATGAGCGTCTGTTTCTCAGGATACAACTGAAGAACCGAAACTAATCCGGCGAACTGGAACTATGCCTGGACCAAAACAATTAAAACAATAATGGGGAAAAAGCCTTTATGTGGGTTTTTTCTTTTCTTGGTGTTATCTCACTCTCGTGTCTTTCTCTTCAAAGAAGACAAGCCTCTTATATAGGCTAAGATAAAGGACTTCATTAATTAAATCATTTAATACAAACTTAATAAAGTTAAATTAAATGTAACATTAATAAAACTAAGTTACAAGTTTTGAAAATGAAGACACGGTTTCAAATTCATTTTTCAGTTGCAAATTCATTCACACTTTTCCAACAATCCCCCACATGAATGAAATTTAAAAATATTGTTATGGTCCAACAGTTGAAACCTGCATAGGATAGGTAGGTGTTACCCTTTGAACCTTCCCTTGTGAAAGCTCATCAACTTTACTAGCTGACCAGTAGACGCGATGTTTTTGAACTGTTCTGCCTTTTGTGTAAACGATAAATATACTTCACACAGGATTCTCCCTAACATATTCCAGTTCTCATTATTATATCCGTTAGTGGCCATGGACATAGCCTGGTTCTGTGAGAGGGTCTAAGAATTGAGCCTCACACAATTCTCTTCGAAGCGGCCCCACTTCTCTCTCACATAGGTGATTCTTAATTACATGTAGCCCGTACTACCTTCCCATACAAGAATCATTAAAAGCCAAATGCTTATCCTACTCACCACGGGTATCACTGTTTAAGGAATGGACATGGGATAATATCCCACAGTGATCACTAGAGTCTTTTTACAATTAGGTTGTCCCTTTGAACCAAGAT